TCATCCTCTTCTTCATCCTCTTCCTCTTCTTCTTCTTCTTCTTCTTCTTCATCCTCTTCTGCTTCCTCTTCCTCTTCTTCTTCTTTTTGTCTTCCTCTTGCAGGTCACTGCTCATGCGCAGATTTTTTTATTGGTAAAAAATCGGCCGATTTGCCCATCATTGCCGCGAAAATCGGCCGATCGGCAAAATCGGCCGATTTTTTTCCAACTTTACCGATAAAAAAAATCTGCCAAAATTCCGAAAAACGGCAGAACAAATAGGCCACTAATCGGCCGATTTTATTTTCGGCCAAAAAATCGGCCGATTTTCGACCCATCTATGGCCTGCATTACCCTCACTTTCTGACCTAGTGATAATATTTTACCAGACACAAAGATGTTATGTACTAAAGTTGAAGAGTGCACAATTAGGCTCACTTCTGCCTAGAAACCAATCAGCTTCTAACCTCAGCTTGTTCAATTAAGCTTTGGCAATAAAACCTGGAAGCTGATTGGTTTCTAGGCAGAAGGGAGCCTGATTTTGCACTCTCCAGCTTTGGCAAATAAACCCCAAAATGCGGGCAAGAAAATGAGAGCAACAGAAATAGTAGAGTAGAGGAAGGCTATACTCTATAAGATTTTTCCTTCTGTCTGTGTTCCTGTTGCAGATTCTCCTTACTTCCTGTCTTGTAAAACCTTTAGCTTTGGTTCACACTGATGCGCATTTTCATGCAATGTGACCATTCAAATCGCATGACAAATCATATCTAATGATCGGCAATGGAACTGTTCTAATTGGTGCAACTCCGACGAAGATAGATAAGTAGTTCCTGCACTACTTTTGCATATTTGGGGTGCAACTTGCATAGACATCTGTGCATGAAGTTCCACAGATGTCTGTGAAGTCGCACTGCCATCCGACTTTGGAACGATTCAAAGTTGGTTCCAGCATGAACCAGGGCTCAATAGCAGGATAGGAAACAAGAGTATCTTCTCTAACAGAGCCTCAGATAGTAGTTGACACTCAACAGCAGTTCTAACACCTCCTCACTCATTCCAGAGCAAGAAAAAAAGTTGTTGGCTAGACATAAACTTTAAACAGTTCCTCCTCTTTCTTGCCATGAATGGACAAAGCACATGTTCACTTTTTGACTGTGACCAGATTCCCATTATTTCTATTTTTATTATTTATTTTTCCTTTCAGAAGGAAGATACAACAGAAGCCAATCATATTATTCTAGGAAGAATTATTTTCGTGCAAGAAGTTCAATGGGCAAGCTTTATTCTCCTCCACTAACAGAAACTGCTAAGATGTATGCTATGGGTACACGAGTGTAAATGCAGCCATGTTCACTAGTCATGTATTTGTCTTTTTAAAGCAGCATGATGCTCAGGCAGGCCGGCGTACAGCAATAAGGTGCCAGTCTACTGCATCTGGAAAACAGAAGAGAGAAGATCATAGTCTGCCCTTGACTTTTGCACTGTGTTGTGAAGAAAAATTACTTGAAAGTGGAAAGCAATTATAGAAAATTGTAGTGTAATGATTGACGCATTGATATAACCCCATGGACATAGTCATTATTCCCAATGGTTGGTGCTTGTGCAGACTCTACAGTCCCTAAGCAAAATGTAAAAATTGCTTAAACTTGGGCAGGTCAGGTTTATGTAAGATGGGAGAAATCTGCATTTGAGGCTTCTTGCGAGTATCATATTGACATAGTATGAAACTGAATGGGTTGCTTCATTAAAGGCAAATAGACTGTTCACTTTGCAGGTGCAGTTGTAATCTGCAAGGGACTTTTCCCCAGAGCTTAATGAAGGAGGTGAAGCTCTGCTGACTTCCATCATGCAGTCATGTGCAAGCAAAAAAGTTTTTTTTTTAAATTTTCCTTGCACATGATATGATTGGGTATACTTTGCAAAGTGAATTTCACCGCATTCACTAAGCTCTGGGGAATATTCACTTGCAGAGTGCAATTTACCTTGTAAAGTAAACAGCCCATTTGCCTTTAGTAACTCAACCCCAATATGCCCTATATATATTTTGAAGAGTACATTTTTGACAGGAGGTGTTATGATGATAAAGTAACAAAATATGCTCTGTTGTGAAATATCATTTATCATGTTACTAATCATGTAGTACACAGCTACTCCCTGATAGAATATTAATAAAGCCTGTCAGTATTTGAGCTCTTCTTTTTCTCTGTGTGGTCAGTCTTTCTCATTTTTTCCACTGATGATTTGGTACACACAATATTAATCAGTTTGAAATACAATAATCCTTCAAGTTCTCATAATCCCCTGCACATCAGACATATTGGGTGAATTAAAAAGTGGGGGAGGCATGTTCTCAATGCCCAAACCATCCACTTAGCTTCTATCTGTCATTAGAAAATGAAAATTGAAAAGCTGATTGGCTGATCTCCAGTTGAGAAAAAGCTGTAACAAAGTTGAAGCAAACTTTGACTCGGTCACCTTTTATTATTGCCCCCACATTGTAACACAGTAATAATTCTTGCCCTGACCGCCTAAATAGGATTAAAAGTAGTATGAAAGATTTATTTTCACAAAAAAAGTGGAGGCGGAGTTTCAACAGCACATAAAGCGCAGGCACACTTTAGGCACAACCAACACACACATACATGCACACACAAATACACACACACTTGCAGATTTGTAAAAAGTTTTTTCACTCATCACTCTTTCCATTTACACGGGTAAATCCAGTAAACCAATAGATCTAAATTACTAAGAAATACAGAGCTTGAGTTTGGCTAAGATTTAGTCAGAAGCTGCACAAACACAAAGGGGCGGGGATGCATGTGACACCATAGACCCAAATTTATGGCCCCATGGCCATACTAGGTCGGTGGCTTTGTGTTTTTCACATACATTTGTTTGATGTGGGAAGTTTTTGTTTTTTTATTCCATTTATTTATTTACCCTTTGGGTTGGATATTCGGGAGGGTGTTTATTTATTAGCAGTTTGTTTTGGTTCACTAGGGGGTAGTGCAGCACTGCTTTGGAGTATTTGGTCTATTGATATAGGAACACATTTAGGTGCTTGCAGCAGCTTATCATTTATTTGTGGCAGCATATGTAGTATTATATTCCTATTTAGATTACTAAACTACCTACCAGACATGCAAGAACTGTAAGATGCGTAAGATCTGTGCTTATAGCAAATCGTTCATCCATTTTCAAGTTTAGAATTAAACAAAAAAGGTTGGGTGTCCATTGGGTGGCTGGAGATCCCAACCAAGGAAATGTCATAGTGCCACATCCTGATTGAAGGATCAAATGTATCAAAAATTGCTTATGGACTTTTTAGGCACATAAACTCAGTACACAAAGTAAAAGCAATTGTTACTTTATTAACATACCATATCTAAAATATATTTTGCAAATTCAAAATTGTTAATATGCATTGCATATTAAATCACAGCATTTTCCCCCCCAAAAAATAAAGAAAATATACAATTTTCATTTGGAAATATTGTAGATATGGTAGACACAATCTACTTCCTTCAAAGTGAGGGGAGTATCTGAGCTGTTTAGATGAATCCTGATATGTTTCGCGTCAGGACTCACTTCCTCAGGGGCTAGCAACAAATCTAAAAAATGGACAAACTTGCAAGTAATCATTGCAAACATTAACAATGGACTTCAAATACAAAATGGATACCGCCTATTAGGCACTTACATGAAAATATAAACAGTGTGTATTGTATGATACAGGACTCCTCAATGCAGCAACACAGGTCCCCACAAACGACCAGAACAGCAACCACACGGCAAATGCGGGGGCACATCAAGCAGGCAAATGGACAAACAAGAACACCCCAATTCCTATATTCTGGCAATAAAGGTAATAGTAGACATGTTGTGGTGTCTGCTATTGGACATTACTTTTTAAAAGTGTAAAGCTGAACTCCAGAGTTTTCTCAAATTTCACCATGCAGTAACACCCTCCTTTCCACTGCAAGGGTTAAAAAGATGAAGAGGAAGCTGTCTCTAGGGGGTCATAGGCAGCAGGCTCAATTCGAACATGCAAAATAAAACACACTACACCCTTCTTTACTGGATAAAATATAGGCATTGGCCTTGTTTATTGGTTTAAATAAATTAACATCACTTAAAACAGCTTTAAAACATTTAATCAAGCAGCATTTCACCATAGCTATAATTAATATAGCTCAGGCACTGAGATTGAAGCCTTCAAAACATTTTGTAATACATTATTTCACTTGTCCCCTTTTGTAATAAATACAAAAGAGACCCACCACATAAACTTTTAGGCCTCGAAGAGGGAGGGCGGAGGGGAAGCTTCCCAGGTAGTCCTCTGTGGAGACTGGTGACAGACCCCTTTAACAGTTTCTTTTTATAGGGACCTTATGACCTTCTGGAAGCTTCTTTGGTGTCAGCTGACCTTTCCTGACCTATCCTGGTTGACCCCTCAAAAGTTTCCAGAAGGTTGTCAGACAGGTGAGAGAAAAAGTTCAGCCACATGGCAATCCGGAGACATGGAAACTTTCAGAAAAATGAGAAAAAAAAAACTCAGTGTGGAGTAGTTTTACAAAGCAAGTCCCTTTCTTACACAGGGAAGGTAAAATGCAGCATAAAAAAATATGCTTGAAATAAAAGTTCAGCCTATACAGTAAATAAACTAAACTTACTTTTTAAAATGTTATTTGTAGCACTACCCTCTTGAGGGCAGCTGAGGATTTTTGGGTTCCCTGCCTGTCCTGAGCCTACTTTGAAGGCACAGCCCCTGCTGACACACCACCATGAATCTTTGACCAGGAGGACTCCCTGACTTTGAACCATAAAATAAACACACAGTTTAAAGTGAGCAAATATTCTGGTTTTATTGAGGTCAGAATATAAAGAATGGAAGCACAAGAATGACTGTAGATGTGGAATAAAGAAAAGTTAAACACTCTAAAAGGTTCAGCAAAGTAATAAAACACAGTATCACTTTAACCTCCCTAGCGGTATTCCCGAGTGTAGCTCGGGGTAAAATGTCAGTACCAAAAGCGGTAACCCCGAGCTACACTCGGGCTTACCAATGCGGCACTGCATAGGGAGTCCCTGCAGAGCTTACCTTGTCCTGCGCTCCCACGATGTGTCCCTTGCAGCATACCCGGCCATCTCCTCCGGCCGATGCCGGCATCCGGCTTCTGTGTTCCGGTCTCTGTGACGTCGGGAAGCACGGGCGCCGCCGGCGCGGGCGGGAAATTTCAAAATTTTAAAAAATGTCATTTTTTTTTCAAAACAAATTTTTCATAGTAAAACATTGCTGTTTCAACCCATTTCACATACATATTGTCCCTAGTGCTTTGTCCTGTGCCCTGTCTGCATTTTGTCTGTTCTTTCTGCCTGGAAACTGAGAAACGTCCATGGCGTCCAAAAAGCGTCCCTTTAGATCAAAAGCAGGTTTAGATCAGCTAGAGAACAGCGATAGTAAATCAGAACCACTTGCAGAATTGAGTGATAATGATTCGTGGGGAAATTCGTCATCAGACACTGAAAACGATTTGGCGACTTTGCTCAGCAATGTGCGAACTTGGCGCTCTATTTTAAATTTCAGTGTTTTCGGTTTGATTATATTATTGAATTAAATGTATTAATATATATTATTATTTTTTATGATTATTTATTATATTATAATTTATCATTTCGTGTTTTAAATTTTGTCATACCCGGGATGTTTAATAGACTCTTGTTCGGACAGATTTCAGTGAGTTATTCCTAAAAATTACAGCCTACAATAAAAAAACTACATATTTCAATGCAAAATAATGGTACCACTTTCAGCACCAAAAACCTGAAATAATCATACCGCTAGGGAGGTTAAGCAATCCCCAAATGTTCTGCAGGGTCAGAATATAAAAGATATGTAAGGGTTGTGGTTGTGTTTTTTTCCCCAAAACATACTTACCTAGGTGGATGCAGCATTGGTCTGAGGTTGCATCTATCCACTGCCGGCTCTAAGGGTGAGAACTCAGTGATCACATGACCACTGATCGCTGAGTTCTCACAGCTGCTCTGAGCAGAGAGCGGGACCGTCAGTCACCACTCTATGCTCTGCTCCCCCAGAACTCAATGGAGCATTGGACTGTGAAGGGAGAGGAAGCAGGTGGCTCAGCCGACAGTGGGCTTCAGCCTGCTGTCGGCTGAAATGGGTCACAGAAGTGCAGAAAAATGGGTCACAAGAGTGCAGCTGTGATCCACAGAAATACAACCAAAATAGCTTTGGCTGGGAGAAGCCCTTAACCAGTTGCCGACTGCAGATAGCCAAATGACGGCTACACTGCGGCCGGCCAGTTCTGGAAGGACATCATATGACATCCACCCAGAACGCGCTCTCCTGCATGCCCCCTGGGGCGCGCACCCAGCAATCTCCGTGATCGCTGTGTCCTACGGACACAGCTGATCACGTGATGTAATAAAAGGCCAATCACAGCGGCCTTTTATCACGTGATCAGCCGTGTCCAATGACACGCTGATCACAGGGAAATGCAATTGCCGGTTCTCGGCTGCACATTCCTCACGCTTTCAGAACGTGAGGAAAGTACTGCCAAGAACCGGCAGTTGTCAGAACAGGGGTCGGCACTGATCATCAGGGCACTGATGATCAGTGCCCTGATGATCGGTGCCCAGCAGTGCCACCCACCAGTTCCTCCCACCTGTGCCCAGCAGTGCCACCCACCAGTGTCCAGTGGTGCCACCCACCCGTGCCACCCACCTGTGCCCATCAGTGCCACCCACCTGTGTCACCCACCTGTGCCTATCAGTGCCACCCACCTCTACCCATCAGTGCCACCCACCTCTGCCCATCAGTGCCACCCACCTGTGTCCATCAGTGCCACCCATCAGTGCAGCCCAGCAGTGCCGCCAGTCAGTGCCCAGCAATGCCACCAGTCGGTGCAGTCTGTCAGTGCTGACTATCAGTACCCATCATCAGTGCTGCCTATCAGTTCCACCTATCAGTGCCGCCTATCTGTGCCACCTCATTAGTGCTGCCAATAGTGCCCTTCAGTGCTGCCTATCGGTGCCCATTAGTGCTGCCTATTAGTGCCCATCAGTGCTGCCTATCAGTGCAGCCTCATCAACGCACATCAGTAAAGAAGAAAAATTACCTGTTTGCAAAATATTATAATAGAAACAAAGAAACCTTTTTTTAAAAAATTTTTTGCTTTTTTTTGTTTATAGCGCAAAAAATAAAACTCCCAGCGGCAAGTAAATACCACCAAAAGAAATCTCTACTTGTGAGAAAAAAATGATAAAAATTTCATATGGGTACAATGTTGCATGACCACGCAATTGTTATTCAAAGTGCGACAGCGCTGAAAGCTGAAAATTGGCCTGGTAAGGAAGGGGGTATAAGTGCCCGGTAGGCAAGTGGTTAAACATCAATTCCAGCTTTTGAGATGTCTCTCACCAAGTGAGTTGGAGTAAACTATCAAGTTGTCAGGCTAACTCGTTTTTGGGTTCTCAGTTGCTGGTAACTGGGTTTAACTCTGGAGATTAATGCTGTTGTTATAAGCAATAGTGTCCCCTTTTTGTATTTCTTTAGGTAAGGGTGTCAAATCTTCTGCGCACTTGATGGGGCCCTAGTTGGTGCACATTAAGGTTCAGATCCTTCCTTGTGTAAGAGCAAGATTTCCTTAAGATGGAATAATCACAGAAATATTCCCCCTTTGAGTAATGTTGAATTTGGGTAAAGTCTCTTTAAAGGAGGAGTACAGCCAAAGCTCTGTTGGCTGTATTTCTGTGGATCACAGAAGTGCAGTTTGTTCTGCACTCTTGTGACCTGTTTTCAGTTGACAGTGGGCTTCAGCCTGCTGTTGTCTGATGTCATTCAGCGGGTCCAGGCTGGGGAATGATTCCGAGATCCACTCCAGAGTCTGGAGTGGTACCTGGCTCAGGTTACCAGCAGCTCGCCCTTCCACAACCCAGCGCCAGTGAGTGCTTGGGGGGGCAGAGCAGAGAGCATTGACTGACAGTCACCGCTCTCTGCTCAGGGTGGCTGTAAGGGTGATTGCTGCGTTCTCACACTTAGAGCTGACGAGGTACAGATGCAGCAGCTGACATGCTTTATCCGCTTGGGCAAGTATGATTTGCCAGAAAAAAACAAAGCCATACTTCTCTTTTAACATGAAGGATGAAAGCAAGAATTAGCTAAGATTGTAGAAAGGGGCGGAAGCAGACTTCAGCTATGGTTGAACCCCTAAAGATAGTGAACTAGTCTGGTAAGGCAAGTTACTTCAGAGTTGGAAGAGGCTTGAAATGAGATACTAGTGTAATCCTGTCCACAGGGGGCATGTGCTGTAGCTAGAGTCCTGCAGGGCTCAGTGAGGTACTAAAGCAGTAGGCCGCTAGACAATCTAGGCCTCAGTGTGATAAGCTGTGGTGTAAGGTGTACTGAACTGAACAACTGAAATGAACACAGTCACTTGCAATTTGTGATGATCCTGGTATGGAACCCACTAACCCGACTTGTAGCCTTTGCAGTGTAAGATGGAGTCTCTCAGTCGGGGGGGGGGGGGGACCATGAAAGCGAGCAATGCCAATGACTGCACTATGATCCGCTTGCCAGCAGGATTGATTGTCCTGCTAATCAGTGATACCAGCGATCTGCAGTTATGTACTTCTCAGCGCTCAGTGGCCTGACCCAGCCTCAATCTCCAGAGTCCTGCATGGCTTTCTCCACACACACCCATCCTCTGCCTCTCATCATTCACTTCCTTCCTGTAAAGTTCTCAGGCTTCTCAATATACAGGGCCCCCACCACTTTGCCAGCTCTCCTGGAAAATGTAGTCTGTTCACTCCCTATCTGAGTGCATAAGTCCTGCTATCAGCATACAAGTCCAACAAAGCTTTACTTTAATAGAGTCTGCATTACTGAACTGCAGAACACTGCCATCTTGTGTTAAATTAACATCCTGCAACCAGTATTAATGCATGGTGTTACATATTCTTTTATTACAAATGGAATAGCAAGGACTGTATATGTTAAGAACATTTCAACCATATATAAGAACAGGTAACCCCCCCCCCCGCTTTTTCCCTCACAATAATGAAAAAGCTTCCTTTTCAGTTATTCACAATGCTCTATGACGAGCTTGATCAATGTTTTCCTTATTTTTAGGTGTCATTTTATCTATAAATGAAGGGATTGAGCATTTTTTGGGAGGCAGCGGTTTGTAACACTTCCTTGCTTGAAGATGCTGCTGGTGAAGAAACACTTGTGAGGTCCTTCGTCAGGCAAGGAGAGTCTGCGGGTTCTTTAGATGTCATACTCAAGTTATACTCAGCTGTGGCTCACTTGTTAGAAATGCAGAACTAACATCAACTACTTGTCAATGATCTAATTTGTGATCTGTGACACCCCAACTCAACTTTGGCCATGCTACAGAGGTTGCACCATCAGCAACATGCCATCATTGAGTACCTCTGCAGTTATATAGCATGAGCACAGGCTCTGAAGATGTGGGATTCTTTCATGGTGTCAGTGGCTCATTATTCAGGATAAATGCAGCATTTTGGCACTATTTGAGGAGATAACTAAATAGAAAGCCGCAACTAGTTGGCAGTTAGCGACACAATCCCTCTTGCATTTCTTCTACACATTGGGGATAATTTAAAGGCAAACAGACTGTGCATTTTGCAAAGGAAGTTGCACTTTGCAAGGGAAAGTTCTCTATAGCTTAGTGAATGAGGTGAAGCCCCACTCATGTGCATGCAATATTGCATTTTTTTAATCCTCCATTCACATGATTGGGTATTCTTTACAAAGTGAAATTTCACCGCATTCACTAAGTGCTGGGAAATATGCAGCCTATATGCCTTTAGTAAATCTCACTGTGTAGTGTCATAAACCGGGCACTGGAAGCACAGGAGCAGGAGAAAGAGGAGGACTTGCTGTTGTCCAGCAGGACAACCAACAGGAACATTTGGCCTTTACCTCCTCTGGCCCTGTGAGGCAACAGGAGGCCTAGGAGGAATATAAAGGAAGATGAGTAAAATTGGGTTGCTGGAGGTGATGAGCAGGAGGAAATGGGGGGAGGGGTTAAAGGGGGACAAATTGCCCCTCCCCAACTCAGGGCATGGTACATGGGTGGGGTGAGATTGTTGAATGCAGTGTTTTCTTCAGTGACATCAAGAACAAGCAGCTTTTGGCAAATAGGGTATTTTATGCTCAACTACTTTGAGCTATTTTAGGATAAAACCTGACTTGTCTTTCCCTTTTATATTGTGGCCTAACCAAGCTGTCAATATACTGTGTATAATATGACCAGCCATTGTACAGTATTTGCGGCTATTGTCTCTCAGATAATACATTCTAATTTCTATTTCCAAATAAAACCTGCCT